CGCCTGTAGTCCCAGCTACTCAGGAGGCTGAGGAAGGAAAATTGCTTGAACCCAGGAGGCAGAGGTTGCAGTGAGCCAAGATCACGCCACTGCACTCCAGCCTGGGCGACAGAGCAAGACTCCATCTCAAAAAATAATAATAATAAATAGATAGATTGTATTTTAGGTACCTTCCCGTTCTTTCTGTGAACTTTTTTTTCTGATTTTTTATTTTTACTTCTTTTTTGGTGAATTCTTTTTATTAATACATTAGATTATCATGGTCTCAAGCACATGAGGCTCTCTGAAAATTCATGATCACATCTGGACACTGTTCAAAGGCACTCATCTGTTCTTTTTTTTTTTTTTTTTTTTTTTTTTGAGACGGAGTCTCACGCTGTTGCCCAGGCTGGAGTGCAGTGGCGCGATCTCGGCTCACTGCAAGCTCCGCCTCCCGGGTTCCCGCCATTCTCCTGCCTCAGCCTCCTGAGTAGCTGGGACTACAGGCGCCCGCCACCGCGCCCGGCTAATTTTTTGTATTTTTAGTAGAGACGGGGTTTCACTGTGGTCTCGATCTCCTGACCTTGTGATCCGCCCGCCTCGGCCTCCCAAAGTGCTGGGATTACAGGCTTGAGCCACCGCGCCCGGCCTCATCTGTTCTTTTTTGGAACTTCTGGACAGTAAACTTGCTGGTGGAAGCATAAATTGAAAGAATGTAGAGGTCAATTTGGCACTGTGAGGATTAATTTTGTGTCAGCTTGGCTGGACCACAGTGCTTAGAGAGTTGGTCAAACATTATTCTAGATGTTTTTGTTAAGGTGTTTATGGATGACACTAATTTTTTTTTTTTTTTTTGATATGGAGTCTCACTCTGTCACCCAGGCTGGAGGGCAGTGGCACGATCTCAAGCTCACTGCAACCTCCGCCTCCTGGGTTCAAACAATTAGATTCTCTTGCCTCAGCCTCCCAAGTAGCTGGGATTATAGGCGCCTGCCACTGTGCCCGGCTAATTTTTGTATTTTTAGTAGAGACGGGTTTTCACCATCTTGGCCAGGCTTGTCTTGAACTCCTGACCTCGTGATCTACCTGTCTCAGCTTCCCAAAGGGCTAGGATTACAGATGTGAGCCACTGTGCCCGGCCGACACTAACGTTTAAATCAGTGGACTTTTAAGTGCAGCAGCGGCCCCCATTATCCATGTGGGATATGTTCCAAGACTCCTAGCAGATTCCTAAACCCACATAGTCCCGAGCCCTATACATATGTTTTTCTCAATCTGACAACAGTGCCTGCTACTAAGTGATTAACAGCGTACATAGTGTGGGTACCCTGGAGAAAGGATCGATTCTCAACCCAGAACATGAATTCATGTCCAGGATGGAGTGGGCCAGCATGATATTTCATCATGCTACTCAGGATGGTATGCAATTTAAAGCTTATAAATTATTTCTGGAATTTTCCACTTAATATTTTCAGACTGTGAGTAAATGAAACCAGGGAAAACGAAAACATGGATACGGGGGGACCTATTGTATTGCAAATTCCTCTCCGTAGTGTAGGTGGGCCTCATCGAATCAGTTAAAGCCTAAAAAAAAAAAAAAAAAAACGGCTGGCGTCCTATCTCTTTCTCCCTAGTGAGGAATTCTGACAGCAGACAGTTTTTATTTTCCTATTTTTTTTAAAGACAAGGTCTCACGCCATTGCTCAGGCTGGTCTTGAACTCCTGGGCTCAAGTGATCCTGCGGCCTTGGCCTTCCAAGAAGTTGGGAGTACAGGTGTGTGCCACAGTGCCTGGCTAGCAGATACCCTTTGAACTGCAACTCTTCCTGCATCTCTTGCCTGCTGGTCTACTCTGAAGACTGATCATGTGAGCCAATCTTTTAAAATAAAAATCTCTCTTCCCACATACATACACATATACATCTAGATATGTGCACACACATCCTGTTGATTCTGTTCTCTGAGAACTCTGATTAACACTGGCACCATTTATCAAAACTGCTCATACTAGACCAGGCGCAGTGGCTCACGCCTGTAATCCCAGCACTTTGGGAGTCCGAGGCGGGTGGATCACCTGAGATCAGGAGTTCGAGACCAGCCTGGCCAACACTGTGAAACCCCGTCTCTACTAAAAATACAAAAAAATTAGCCGGGTGTCGTGGCATGTGCCTGTAATCCCAGTTACTCCGAAGGCTGAAGCAGGAGAATCGCCTGAACCCAAGAGGCAGAGGCTGCAGTGAGCCAAGGTTGTGCCACTTCACTCCAGCCTGGGTGACAGAGCGAGACTCCATCTCAAAACAAAACAAAACAAAACAACAACAACAAAAAACTGCTCATGCTGGTTATGATCCATCCACAAAACGGAATATGCTACACCCACAGGGAAGGATGCAGACTCTTTATGTAATGATATGGAAAGAGCTCCAAGATGTATTAACAAAAGTATGTAGAGTGTGCAATTATCTGTGTAAACAAAAAAAGGTGTAAAAATAAAAATTCCCATTGTTTATATTATTATTTTTTATTTATTTATTTATTTATTTGAGACGGAGTCTCACTCTGTCACCCAGGCTGGAGTGCAGTGGCGCGATCTCGGCTCACTGCAACCTCCGCTTCCCTGTTCAAGCAATTCTCCTACCTCAGCTTCCCAAGTAGCTGGGACTACAGGGGACTGCCACCGCGCCTGGCTAATTTTTTGTAATTTTAGTAGAGACTGGGTTTCACCGTGTTAGCCAGGATGATCTCGATCTCCTGACCTCGTGATCCGCCCGCCTCCACCTCCCAAAGTGCAGGGATTACAGGTGTGAGCCACCGCACCCGGCCTCCCATTGTTTATTTTTTAGTTTTTGACACAGGGTCTCACTCTGTCACCCAGGCTGGAGTGCAGTGGTGTGACTGATCACAGCTCACTGCAGCCTCTAACTCGTAGGTCCAACTAATCCTCCTGCCCCAGCCTCTCAAGTGCCTGGGACAGCAGACATATGCCACCAAGTTCAGCAATTTTTTTTCTTTTCCCAATACAGAGTTTTGCTCTGTTGCCCAGGCTAGAGTGCTGTGGTACTATCTCGGCTCACTGCAACTTCTGCCTCCCGGATTCAAGCAATTCTCCTGCCTCAGACTCCTGAGTAGGTGGGATTACAGGCGCCTGCCACCACGACTGGCTAATTTTTGTATTTTTAGTAGAGATGCAGTTTCACCATGTTGGCCAGGCTGGTCTTGAACTCCTGACCTCGTGATCCACTTGCCTCAGCCTCCCAAAGTGCTGGGATTACAGGCATGAACCACTGTGCCTGGCCACATTCGGCAAACTTTTAAATTTTTTGTAGAGACAGGGTTTCCCCATGTTGCCCAGGCTGGTTTCAAACTCCGGGCCTCAAGCAATCCTCCTGCCTTGGCCTCCACAAATGCTGGGATTACAGGCGTGAGCCACCGTGACTGGCCCTATTCTTTCTATGTGGTGGTTTGGGGGGGAACCTCTGGAAGGGTACCTAAGAATCTAACAACAGAGGTTACCTATTGGAATAGACTAGTGGGGGAATTAAGTAAATGGGAGAAAAGAGAGAAGAGACCTTTTGTTTTAGACTTTTTTTTTTTTTCTTGCGATGGAGTTTCACTCTTGTTGTCCAGGCTGGAGTACAGTGGCACGATCCAGGCTCACTGCAACCTCTGCGTTCCAGGTTCAAGTGATTCCCCTGCCTCAGCCTCCCGAGTAGCTGGGATCACAGGAATACACCACCTTGCCCGGCTAGTTTTGTATTTTTAGTAGAGACAGGGTTTCTCCATGTTGGTCAGGCTGGTCTCGAACTGCCGACCTCAGGTGATCCACCCACCTTGGCCTCCCAAAGTGCTGGGATTACAGGTGTAAGCTACCGCACCTGGCTTGTTTTACTCTTTTTTTATACTCTGATAAATGTACATATTCTATGACCCAGCAGTTCCATGCCCATGTAATTACCTTATAAATACACCTCCATATGTGCAAAACAACACATATACAAGGATATTCTGTTGTGGCATTATTTGTAAGAGAAAAAGAATGGAAACAACCTAGACACCCATCAGCAGGAAACTGATTAAATAAATCATCCATTTGAAATAAAACGGTACATTTGTTACTAAGAATGACGCAATTCTCTGTGTTCTGATATGGAACGATTTCCAAGTTGAATGGAAAAAAGAAAGGTGCAGGACGGTGTGTACATAATGCTACCATTTGTGTGGGAAGAAAAGTGAAACTATATGCATATCCGTTTGCAAATGCAGTTAATGTCTCCAGAACACAGAATAAACTAATAACAGTGGCTGCTTCTGGGGAGGAGAACTGGGTAACTGGGAAACAGTGGTGGGGACGGGTTATTACCTTACACTATACTTTTTGAATCATGGGCATGTTTTATCTATTCAAAACTTTATAAAATTTCTGAGAAGGTATTTGCCGGGAGCGGTGGCTCATGCCTGTAATCCCAGCACTTTGGGAGGCTGAGGTGGGCCGATCACGAGGTCAGATCAAGATCATCCTGGCTAACATGGTGAAACCCTCTCTCTACTAAAAATATAAAAAATTAACTGGGTGTGGTGGCAGGCGCCGGCTGAGGCAGGAGAATGGTGTGGACCTGGGAGGCGGAGCTTGCAGTGAGCTGAGATCACACAACTGCACTCCAGCCTGGGCGACAGAGCGAGTCTGTCTCAAACAAACAAACAAACAAACAAAAAAATTCTGAGAAGGAGACGTATTGGAGGAGGAGGAGCAGGAAAAGTCACATGCTAGGGTGGGGGCTAAAGCCATCTGTACACAAAGCATTTCAATTTCACATGTTATGCTTTTTCCTGGGGCTTTTAACCTGAGTTTTCCCCGGAATTGCTCTTACAAATTCCAGCACTGGAACAGACACAATTTCACTGGAGACCCAGGATCTTCACAAAATCAGGGAGATAATTTTTAAAGACAAGAGCAAGCACTAGCTCTCTGCAAGGTACACCACTCTTTAATCCATGCAGTAGAAAGACAACTGGATCCAGACCTTTGCTGCAGAACCTTTTTATTCATCATCTAACCAACAGAGGTGGTTGGCTTGAGCTCAAACTGAAATGGCCTCAAAAGGCCTGCCTCGTTACAACATGACAGGGCAAAACCAGAAGTGGGGACAGAGTTTAGCCTCAGTTCTCTGCAGAGAAAACCAAGCATGTATTTACACACAGGTGCCTCATTAAAAACTGACTGGCAATGTTCCACCAGCACAGACCCAGAGTGTGCAGAAATCCGTGGGGGCTCTGTACACGTCATTCAGACAATCCACCGATTCCTCAGCCATAAACAAGCTCTTGCTTTTTGGGAGGAGGGTGATTAGCATGTTATCTTGAATGATGGCACCATTTGTTTACTCTGGAACTTTGAAGGGGAGGTGACAATTTACTTTCTCCCCTGAATCTGAGATGCAGTGGCCTGTCACAGTATCTAAAATGTGTCCTGGAAGACAGATAGGTGGTGGAGGTTGCCCTAACACAGAGTTTACGGGGTAATTGTGTTGGGCTCTTTAAGTACTTAATCCTGTTGTTTTTCAGAAACCCTTTGCACCTGGGCTCCTAAGAAGCCAGCAGGGCCCCATGGAGCATCCCACAGGCCTGTGAGTGAAGTGCCTCTCAGAGCAGTCACCCAGGGAAGGGAGGAGGGCAGGGAACGGGGCCAGGGGAGATGCAGGGACAGAAATCAGCAGAAACACTCCATGCTGGTTCTGACTCGCTCCATCTCGTGCAGGAAGCTGTAGAACTGAGGCAAGGTTAATTCTGGGGAGAGAAAATTCAGCTTCAGATAAATCCACAGAATCATCCAAGAAAATTAATTTCCACGCAGAGGATTTTTTTTTCTTTTTTGGCTTAGTACCTCTAAGCAGTTCTTGATGGGTAATTGATCATAATAAAGAACTGAGAGACTTGAATGCAGAAGGTTCTCTGCTCCATAGGAAAAAAAAAGGGAGTGAGTGTTCAAATGGCACAGCTCCACAGCACAAAGAGATGAAAGGGTATCATTCGGGATGTTCAATGGGACTTCTACGGCAAGAGCTTCTTGCTCATCAACCTTCTTCTTCAATCCCAGACATTCTGTTCCCTCCCTTTCCCTTTTTCAAAACGGCTCTTCAACTCTGGGGGCTCCAACCTGCCAATGGCTTTCTAACACTCCTTGTGCCATCTTTTAGGAGAGGAAAGGCAGTGGAACAGCTACTCCACAGCTGGCAATGACTGTTTTATAGAAGACATGATTTGTGGTGAGTGTCACCAGCCCCTGACTGCAGAGAACATGGAAAAGGTGAAGAGGTTCAAGAGGGAATTCAGACTCACCTATATACACATTTTCGGTTTGATTTCCTTTCTTAACCACCAACTTTAGCTGATGAAAGAAAAAGAAATAATTTAAATTAAAATGACAACTGAGCAAATAAATTAAAACCCTTTGACTTAATTAAGCTTCCAACCTGAGAGTCCTACAGGAGCAGTATGGATCATCCACCACTGAAAATTCTAACAATTCCCATGATTACAGGAACAATCACATGTCAATGAATCATACTAGGATCTATTCATCTGAAAGTAGGCATGTTAGTGACCACATCTGTAGCTGGCCACACTGCTCTGAGACAGATATGTAAGGTACTTCAGTAAAACATCCATTTAAATGGATATTTAAATGGATGGATATTTAACCCAATGTAGACTTGATAATTTTTAACCAAGTCAAAAATCTACCCATTTTCAAGGATCAGGAGAAGACTTACTTGTAAAAATATACTTCCCACTTTCTCCAATTCGCTGCTCCCAGATGTCACTGTGACAAAAAAAAAAAAAAAAAAGAGAGAGAGAGAAAAAATAACAAGTGACTGATTGAGGACTGACCCTGAAGAGCCCAGTTTTGCAGTTGTCCAGCAGAAGCCATGTGGGGGCAAGTATGAGGGCAGCAAGGCGTACTTCTGGAAAGTCAACTTATCCAGAGCCATGAATTGAAACAGCTACTGAATGTGGGCAGAATACAAAACAGCAGGTGCTGCCTCAACAGTGCCTTCCCCACAGTGGCTGTGTCACAGCCTCTGCACCCCGACCCTGTACCACCCAAATAACCCAGGACTGGTTGTAACTAGTTACCTCCAAATTTCCACTCCATATCTATGAGCTGGTTAATCATCAGAGTCTGACCAATGGCCCACTGAGCAAGGGTGGGAGCATTCTGCTTCCACTGGAACAAAAGCAAAAGCCAAAGTCAATTACAAGAGGAAGAATCTCCCCTTCTCCATCCTGCCCCAACACTGCAATATTTAGCATTGACACAGATAGTGGGGAGGGTGCAGAACCAAGGGCTCAACCTATATGCACATACCTAGGGATGGAGGAGGGTACAGAGTGGCAGACCACAACATTAATGTTGTATTTTTCATTCCAAGATTTAATCCATCTTGGAATAAAAACTGTGCTGCCATCATACTGGCCCCCACATGGCTTCTACTAGACAATTGCAAAATTGGGGTCTTCAGGGTAAGTTCTCAATCAGTCACTTGTTATTTTTCTTTTTGTCACAGTGACATCTGAGAGCAGTAAACTGGAGAAAGTAGGAGGTATATTTTTACAAGTAAGTCTTCTCCTGATCCGTGAAAATGGGCAGATTTTTGACTAGGTCAAATCAGGAAAAATGATTAGAGATGCACTGAATAGCGCTGGTTAATGCTGTGCGTATGACACTCGCTTGAAGCCAAATGAAAACCTTAGGCTGGGGAAATGATAATACTGATGGATGGTTTCGGCTTACTTGGCATTTTCCGTTGTTTTCTCTCTTCGTGATATAAAAGCAAGGGGCTGGGCGTGGTGGTTCACGCCTGTAATCCCAGCACTTTGGGAGGCCGAGGAGGGTGGATCACCTGAGGTTGGAAGTTCAAGGACAGCCTGGCCAACATGGTGAAACCCCGTCTCTACTAAAAATACACAATTTGGCCGGGTGCGGTGGCTCATGCCTATAATCCCAGCACTTTGGGAGGCTGAGGCGGGTGGATCACAACGTCAGGAGATAGAGACCATCCTGGCTAACACGGTGAAACCCCGTCTCCACTAAAAATACAAAATATTAGCTGGGTGTGGTGGCAGGCACCTGTAGTCCCAGCTACTCGGGAGGCTGAGGCAGGAGAATGGTGTGAACCTGGAGGCAGAGCTTGCAGTGAGCCCAGATCGCGCCACTGTACTCCAGCCTGGGCGACAGAGTGAGACTCTGTCTCTAAAAAAAAAAAAAAAAAATACAAAATTAGCCAGGCATGTTGGCACATGCCTGTAATCCCAGCTACTTGGGAGGCTGGGGCAGGAGAACTGCTTGAACCCAGGAGGTGGAGGTTGCAGTGAGCCGAGATTGTGCCATTGCACTCCAGCCTGGACAACAAGAGCGAAACTCTGTCTCGAAAAGAAGAAAAGAAAAGAAAAAAGAAAAGAGGCCAAGCACGGTGGCTCACGCCTGTAATCCCAGCACTTTGGGAGGCAGAGGTGAGTGGATCACGACGTCAAGAGTTCGAGACCATCCTGACTAACACACAGTGAAACCTCATCTCTACTAAAAATACAAAAAATTAGCCGGGCATGGTGTCATGTGCCTGTAGTCCCAGCTACTCAGGAGGCTGAGGCAGGAGAATCACTTGAACTCGAGAGGCAGAGGTTGTGGTGAGCCGAGATCACGCCACTGCACTCCAGCCTGGACAGAAAGCGACTACCTTTAAAAAAAAAAAAAAAAAAAAGCAGGGGATCTTAATTAACCTTGATTAAGAGGAATTATACCTTTTCAGAAAAGTAAGTGGCTTTCTCCTCACTAAGGCCTACAAGAGAACAGAAGGAGATATTAACATAATAAAAAGCCTCAGAAGCCAGTCACCCTGAGCAACCTTGGCCAATGACCTACCCAGAGTTATAAAATCCGCCTGGACCTGCTTGGCTGTGAGGCTCTTCTTCAAAGCACCTGGGAGGCAGGGGAGAAATCAGTTAGAAAGGCAGACCAGTGAATTAGTCAGCAACAAGTATTTAATGGGCACAACGTATGTGACCTAAAGGACAAAAGGAACACTCAAAGACTGGCCAGCTCCAAGAAGATCTCAATCCAGCCACGGGGAAAGAGCATCCGAAATGACCAGAAAACAAGAAAGACAGTACATTTTTAAATTTATTTATTTTATTTTAAAAATATATTTATTTTTTTGAAATGAAGTCTCGCTCTGTCGCCCAGGCTGGAGTGCAGTGGTGCAATCTTGGCTCACTGCAACCTGTACCTCCTGGGTTCAAGTGATTTTCATGCCTCAGCCTCCTGAACAGCTGGGACTACAGGCGTGCACCACCACACCCAACCAATTCTTGTATCTTTAGTAGAGACTGGGTTTTACCATGTTGACCAGGCTGGTCTCGAACTACTAACCTCAAGTGATCTGCCCACCTCGGCCTCCCAAAATGCTAGGATTAAAGGGGTGAGAGCCACCATGCCCGGCGTATTTTTTTTTTAATTGTACAACACAATTATTTATCCCTCCAGCAAGTGTGAGAGAAGTCAGAGACAACAGAAAAGACTTCACGGTCTTGGGGTTGGAACAACTGGTCTGAGCAATGAGTAAGGCTATGAATTCCTGGAGCAAAAGGCAGGGGAGCGTAATGTCAGGTTGGGCACACGGGGCAACCACCTAGAGCCCCACAATGCATTATGTAGCCACTATTGCATGTGGTTATGCAAAGTTTTTTTTTTTTTTTTTTTTTTTGAGACGGAGTCTCGCTCTGTCGCCCAGGCTGGGGTGCAGTGGCCGAATCTCAGCTCACTGCAAGCTCCGCCTCCCGGGTTTATGCCATTCTCCTGCCTCAGCCTCCCGAGTAGCTGGGACTACAGGCGCCCGCCACCTCGCCTGGCTAGTTTTTTGTATTTTTTAGTAGAGACGGGGTTTCACCGTGTTAGCCAGGATGGTCTCGATCTCCTGATCTCGTGATCCGCCCGTCTCAGCCTCCCAAAGTGCTGGGATTACAGGCTTGAGCCACCGCGCCCGGCCGCAAATTTTAATTAAATAAAATTTAAAATTCCATTCCTCAGTCTCACTAGCTATTTCCTGTGTCAAACGATCACACAAGGCCAGGGACCATTGTATTGAACACTGAAGATTACAGACCATTTACATCTGCAGAGAAAGTTCTTTTTTTTTTTTTTTTTTTTTGAGACGGAGTCTCGCCCTGTCGCCCAGGCTGGAGTGCAGTGGCGTGATCTCGGCTCACTGCAAGCTCCGCCTCCCGGGTTCACGCCATTCTCCTGCCTCAGCCTCCTGAGTAGCTGGGACTACAGGCGCCCGCCACCACGCCCGGCTAATTTTTTTGTATTTTTAGTAGAGACGGGGTTTCACTGTGGTCTCGATCTCCTGACCTTGTGATCCGCCTGCCTCGGCCTCCCAAAGTGCTGGGATTACAGGCGTGAGCCACCGCGCCCGGCCTGAGAAAGTTCTATTGGATGGCGTTATCCTAGGAAATTAGCTTTCACGCAGTACACCAAGATTGACCAAACAGACTAACCTCTACAATTCACAAGTCACTTCCAGAGGGGCTGTCAAAACTTCTCAGAAGCCCTAGGAACACTCCCCTGTGGTGGCCACCTTGTTTTGCTAGGCTCCAATTCCTGAAAACAAAGCCAGCAATCTGGGCTTCTCAATGTTTAACCTGCAGGCTACATCTCCAGTCAGAATTTGGCAACCACTCTCAAATTTTCCACTTTTTAGTTCACCAGAAAATGACTAATTAAAGAATAGGAAGATGCCCACCACCATCAAGGGAAGGCCCTGAACCTATATCCTAAACCCAAGTCCCCACCCCCACCTCACTCCAGAAAAACAATCCTAAAGGCTGTTGTACCGGTAAAATCAACCATATAAACAAAGGGAGGAAATCTTTTATCTCCAAAATCAGAGTGAGCAAGGAAGCCACACAGAATAAAAAAGGCAAGACCCCAGGAAACCGTAGCCATAAAGGCCCTCTGAGAAGGTGGCTACTTCCCAGCCAATCCAATTAACTCATAACTACCATGAATATAGCTTCTTGGTTTATACTGAATTCAAATCCAATACTTTATTTGACAATCCCAAAACACTGGGCTTTATTATTGTAATTTTTTTTTTTTTTTTTTTTTTTGAGACAGTGAGATGGGGTTTCACTCTATCGCCCAGGCTGAAGTACAGTTGGGCAATCTCAGCTCACCTCCCCCTGCCCGGCGGGGTGCTCAAGCAATCCTCCCACCTCAGCCTCCCACACAGCTGGGATTACGACGCCCAGCTAATTTTTTTAATTTTTGTAGGGACAGGGTCTTGCCAAGTTGCCGAAACTGGTCTCAAACTCCTGAACTCAAGCAATCCACCCACCTTGGCCTCCCAAAGTGCTGGGATTACAGACAGGAGCCACCATGCTCAGCTATTATTTTAACTTTATTTACCACGAAAGATTAAGCATTTTTGGGAGAAAATCTGTCAAATCCAGATAGTCAAGAATTGTACTGCCAAGAATTCACCCAACCAAGCTGCACCCAAAAGCACACTGAGATATACAAGGGAAGCTCTTTAGCAATGTGGATAGTAGGGACGAAAGGTCATGGAGAGACCAGGCACAGTGTCTCACGCCTATAATCCCAGCACTTTGGGAGGCCGAGGTAGGTGGATCACTTGAGGTCAGTAGTTCGAGACTAGCCTGGCCAACATGGCAAAACCCCATCTCTACTAAAAATACAAAAATTAGCCAGGCATGGTGGCACACGCCTGTATTCCCAGCTACTTGGGAGGCTGAGGCAGGAGAATCGCTTGAACCCAGGAGGCAGAGGTTGCAGTGAGCCAAGATGGCGCCACTGCATCACAGCCTGGCGACAGAGCAAGACTCTGTCCCAAAAAAAAAAAAAAATAGAAAAAACAAAACAAAACAAAACAAAAAAACAAGCTGGGTACCTGTTACACAATTAGCTGGGAGGCTGAGGCAGGAGAATCATCTGAGCCCGGGAGGTAGAGGTTGCTGTGAGCCGAGATCTTGCCACTGCACTCAAGCCTGGGCAACAGAGCAAGACTCCGTCTCAAAAACAAACAAGCAAACAACAACAAAAACAACAAACAAAAACTCAGGTCAGACCATGTCTTTTTTTCTGCTCAAAGCCCTCTACTATCTCCTATTTCACTCACAGTAAAATCCAAAGGTTGTACAATACCCTGCATGCTCTGGCCTCCTCTTAGAACCCCTAAGCTCTCTCCCTTGCTTACTCTGCTATTTTTAGAATATGCCAAGCAGCTTTCTACCCCCCACCATTTGCCCTTGCCGTTCTCTGCACACAGCTCATCCCTTTGCTTCATTCAGGGTTGTGCCTGACTCTTACCTCCTCAGAAAGGATCCCTGACCATTCTATTTTACATTTTTTCTTTTTTTTTTTTTTTAATCTTATTTAAAATAAGATTTTACCCAGGCTGGACTGCAGTGGTGTAATTACGGCTCACTACAGCCTTGACCTCCTGGGCTTAATGGATCCTCCCACCTCAGGCTCCTAAGTAGCTGGGACTAGAGGCACGCCCCACCATGCTTGCCTAATTTTTAATATTTTTTCTGGAGATAGAGTCTCACTATCTTGCCAGCCTCGAACTCCTGCACTGAAGCAATACTCCTACCTCAGCCTCTCTAAATGCTGGGATTATAGGCATGAGCTGCCAAGCCCAGCTTCATTCTATTTTAAATAGCACTGCCCTTTACTCATACTCCTATAATGCTGTGGAATATTCTGCATTGCATTTATAACTACCCAACTTTATGTTATATATTTATTATCAAGTTTTCCACTAGAACATCAGCTTGATAAGAACAAAGACTAGGCTCATTTTGCCTACTGCTGTGTCCCAAGCTCGGAGAGAAATGCCTGGCAAAGTTTATTGGTTGGCACTCAATAAAAACATGTTGAATGCAAGAATCCTTACAATGGAATGCTATCCAGGCTTTTAAAAAATTATGTAAGGCCAAGTGCTGTCATTCCAGCACTTTGGGAGGCTGAGGTGTGAGGATACTTGAGCCCAGGGGTTCAAGACCAGTCTGGGCAACACAGGAAGACCCTATTCTACAAAATAAAAAAAATTAGCAAGGTATAGTGGCATGGACCTGTGGTCCCAGCTACTCAGGAGGCTGAGGTGGAAGGATGGCTTGAGCCCAGGAGGTTGAGGCTATAGTAAACCATAATTGCATCACTGCACTCCAGCCTATGCAACAGAGTGAGACCTCATTAAAAAAAAAAAAAAAAAAAAAGAGGTAGCTCAGTAGCTCTTGATGGACCAATCTGTATAATATAATGTCAAGAAAAAAAGGAAAGGCACCTATAATCCCAGCACTTTGGGAAGCTGAGATGAGAGGACTGCTTGAGGCTAGGAATTTGAGACTAGCCTGGGCATCATAGCAAAACCCTGCCTCCACAAAAAAATAATAAAAAATTACTTGGGTGTGGTGGTGCACACCTGTAATCCAGCTGCTCAGGAGGCTAAGATAGGATGATCGCTTGAGCCCAGGAGTTTGAGGCTACAGTGACCCATGATGGCACCACTGCACTCCAGCCTGGGTGACAGAACAAGACTCTATCTCTAAAAATAAATAAATTAAAAATAAGTGTTACTTTGGCCGGGCATGGTGGCTCACGCCTGTAATCCCAGCACTTTGGGAGGCTGAGGCGGGTGGATCACATGAGGTCAGGAGTTTGAGACCAGCCTCGTCAACACGGTGAAACCCTGTCTCCACTAAAAATACAAAAATTAGCTGGGCATGGTGGCACACACCTGTAGTCCCAGCTACTTGGGAGGCTGAGGCAGGAGAATCACTTGAACCCGGGAGGCAAAGGTTACAGTGAGCCGAGATCACACCACTGCACTCCAGCCTGGGCGACAGAGTGAGACTCTGTCTAAAAAAAAAAAAAAGGAAACAAAGCCAAGTGGCTTA